TCTGGAGTTCCCCAAGGCTCCATACTTGGACCTCTTTTGTTCGTAGCATACGTAAATGATTTACCCTCTATAGACCCAGGTGTCTCGTTATTTGCTGATGATACAACCCTACTGTCAGCATCCTCGTCCTCAGCGGCTCTTGTACCTCGAGTGTCGGCTCAGATATGCAGTGTCCTACGCTGGATGCAAACATGGCGACTTAGACCCAACCTGACTAAAACCGAAATAATGTTCCTTCCCCCAATCTCATCCATGTCACTTTTACACCATCCTGATTTCCCAGAACCCATAAAGGTTGTTTCCAACCATAAGCACCTGGGAATAATGCTTGATGATCGTCTCTCTTGGTCTTTCCATATTGATGCTCTTTGCAGCCGTTCAAGCTCTGCCCTAGGTGTTATACGTCCCCATTGTTTCCATCTTCCTTTCAAATGTAAAATTTTGTTTTACAAACTGTACATCCTGCCTCTTTTCATGTACGCTGCTGTTAGCTGGTGTGGCTTGTCCTCGGTTCTCGCTGAGCGTCTCGAAATCCACCATAGAAAACTTCTTCGTATCCTGTTTAGTCTACCCCCTCTCTACTCTTCTGCTTCCCTGTATGTCCTTGCAAATGCTTGCCCACTGTCGACCCACCGTCAAAAATTAATTTGCACTTTTGCTCACAAATTTAAATTAGCTCTACACCCTCCTCATCTTAACGTGTATAACTGGTTCCGAATCACAGATGGCTCCCAGACAAGATGCTCTGTTGCCCTCCCCTTGGCTAAAACGTCCTCCCTTGTACGCTCTCCACTCTTTGTTGCTTACTCTGCTTGGCTTGCGCTGCCCGCTACTACGCGCAATGCCAGTACCCTGGACGCATTTAAATCTGCTCACTAGATTCACCATCACCTGTCCCTCCCATGCTTCTCCGTCTTGACCATTACTTTTCTTCTTTTATTCACCATGGTTGGTTAACACCCACATCTCCCGTACTGGCTGATTTTCTTCTCATGCCATGAGGTGTTGTCTATAATAATAATAATACCGCAAATACCCATCCCCTACAAATTTCAACAAATACAAACACCAACGTAACTATGTAAAATGCCTTTCCAGATGCTGCCATCGCTGCTACATCCGCAACCTCCGTGCCACGATATCTCCCACAAACACTCGCCTCCCATCCCTCCCTGTGCTCATTCGTCAACTGCGAAATCCTACCAGCGCCCGGGTCATACCTTCGAAGATGGTGGGCCCCAATGGTCGAACAAGCACCTCTCTGGCATCCATTGGTAACTTATTGAACCGCCACTTCGTCAGTGCTGGCTTACAGGTTGACCCCGATGCTCCTATTCCAACTATTTCCCCCCTACCTCCACGTGCAACTACATTGCACTCCCTGATCATCACCTCATCGACTATTCACAAGTATATTGCAAGACTGCCTCTGAACAAATACCCTGGAGCTGATAGGATCACCAATGAGATCCTCAGGAAACTGAGCTACTCAATTGCCCGCCCACTCTCCATTCTTTTGAACCTTTCCCTCTCCTCCGGCACAGTCCCGTCACGATGGAAGTCAGCCACTGTCATTCCAGTGTACAAAAATAAAGGCGACAAGAACAACCCGTCTAATTACCGACCAATCTCCCTCCTGTCCTGCGTCTCCAAACTGCTATAGAGAATAGTGTACGACCGCTTGTACGACCATATCTCCCCTCTTCTTCACCCTGCACAATCTGGCCTCCGCCGCAAGGACAACACATCCCTGCAATTGTTCCGCATAATCCAAGACCTTTGCTCCCTAAAAGAACAGCGGCAGGTCTCCTGCATCTGTTTTTTCGACCTCTCCAAGGCCTTCGACACCGTGTGGCACAAGGGCCTGATCGCCAAACTTCGTGCCCATGGTGTCTCCGGCTTCCTACTCGCCTGGATAACTAGCTACCTCTTGGACCGAAATCAGTGCGTCACAGTAAATGGAACCTTATCTGACCCCGAGTCTGTGACATCCGGAGTGCCCCAGGGCTCCAATTTAGGTCCCCTGCTCTTCCTCACATACGTTAATGACCTCCCCTATTCAATTCCCAATATTTCTTTGTTTGCAGATGATACCACTGTCCTTGCTTCCTCCCCATCTCACGCCACCCTGTACCCCAAAGTTCAGACCTGTATCAATGACATTGTTCACTGGATGAGCACTTGGTACCTTAAGCCAAATGTGACCAAAACCGAGCTCCTCTTTTTTCCCCCTTCCCCAAAAATCCAGTGCCCATCTTCCACTTTCCCGATGATCCCGGTCACCCTATCTCTGTAGCGCCCCACCATAAACACCTTGGCATTGTCATAGATTCCGCCCTCTCCTGGTCTCACCATGCTGATCATGTGTCGTCCAAAGTATGCCGATCTGTCGGCATAATGTCAAGTCACTTGTCCCATTTGCCCCAAAATTGCCAGATCAATTTTTATAAATCATACATTCTTCCCCTCTTCACGTACGGCTTCCCTGCCTGGTCCACCATTAACAGAACCCACAAAGGTAAATTAGAAGTTCTCCATCGCCGTATACTGCGCATCATATTTCGTACTGATCGTTATATCACAAATCTAGACTTGTATGCCGCTGCATCCACTACCACTCTGCAACATTACCTTGATGCTTCCAGGTGCACCCTGGCACATTCAATTTTTCTTGACCAGCACCCTGCTCATTTACAGTCCATTAGTTGGTTCAATTCAGGAGGCACCACCCGAAGCTGCGTTCGTCGCCCCTAGCTAGGTCTACCCTATTCGTAAATTCCCCTTTCTTTTCCTCCTACTCCACGTGGCTCCTACTGCCTCCCAGTGTTAGACAAGCTCCAGATATGCCCAAATTCCGTACCCTCGTCAGACAGCCCTTCAGTATCTCCCAGTAAACAAAGTCACAGTCACCACTTCCGCTGCATAGCTCACTGAGCATCCCATTGCTTTTTAAGTTACTAATCCCTTCCGACTTTGTGTACGTGCTCTTCATTTTCTTTTTTCACTTCTTCCGTGGTTGGTCTCACCCCCTCCTCAATTCAATTGGCTGTCTTGACATGCCACGAGGTGCAGAAATAAATAAATAAAATTAATAAATAAAATAAATAATCACAACACTTGAAATACTGCTTTCAACACTAAACTTGTACTGCACCAACAATTGGCAACATGCATGCATAGGAAAGAGGATCACGAGGGTAAAAGGTCTTCTACATGTAGCTTTTCATTCTGTGTGTGATTATTGTGAGGTTTTGTGTGAAATTTTAATTTTCAGCTTTCACATTTCGTTAATTTCTTACTTTTTAGACGGGGTCCATGACTCCATGGACTAGAACACAATAACGTTTTTTAGAAAACTCCCATAAAGCAGTTTTTATTGCTATAATTTCTTTTGTTTTTTCCATATCAGGAAATACAACAATTAATCACAGTTTTCCCCCATCTGAATATTATGTTTTACAAAAGGCAGTATAATAAATCAGAACAAAACATAACTACTTGTAAGTCTTTATTAATATAGCAATGAATAGGATGAAGGCTGCAGACATCACGCAACTACGTTACTTGTTCGTCATGTATTACTGTTATTTTTTATAACAAAAATATTTTTGAAACCCAGAATGGATTTTCTCGTTCCTATTATCAGTGGGAAAAATACGGAACTAAAGGATACAACGAAAGAAACTGAAGTTAAGTACTGTAAATAGAAAGGTGTCAGAAATAACATCAAGATACAAGTGCAATAAAACCACTAGAGAAAACGCTCTAGTGGTTTTATTGCACTTGTACCTTGTATCTGTAGAAGAGAAAAAAAGGACATATGGATACGAGTTTAGAGTAACTCTCCATCACTGTAACATGATACTATATACAGTCAGAAAGTGCAATAACTAGGCACAAAACTGACAGAGTACTGAGACATTTGACGTCCTGACACCTAGCTTCAACACATCTTCGTAGCGCTAACCGACAGCCTTCCAACTTGGAAGGTTCAAGGTTATGGAAAGACCAAAGAGGGGAAGGCCAGCGCAACGAAAACGAGCAAAAGCTACAGTCCCAACTCCCAACTTTTTTTCTCTTCTACATTTATTTATGGCTCAACATCCGAGTTACCTTGTATCTATTTTCATTATAGTTATTTATTGGCTCAGTAAACGGGAAAGGGTCTGAAGAAAATATTGACTGTTATCACGAGGACCTTTATGAACTGCGGTGCTCTACTTGATATCTCAGTATGTAAAGCATATCTTTTTCCACTGCATGAGACCGATGTGAGGTTGAGGAGCTTACTTTTAGGATCACAGCAGGATGCACTGCCTGCGAGCTGACTATGCTAAATACATACAGTTTTTTATGCCTGCAATGTCGGGACGAACCCAGATCGTCGAAACTCTGGGTTTCTTTATCTAGCATGAATTTCATAAGCAATACTGTGAAATCAAAAGATAGGCAAACATGGGCATTCGAACTACCATGTACCAAGGAACGAGACTTGCTCCATTGCTCTTTCCTCAGTACTTTTAGAACTCTTAAGTCACAAGAAAGACAGGACAGGACACGATACATTTCTATGGGGAGCTGATCATCTCTTCCGCATGATTGGGCTTATCTCATTCCCTGAACAAATGCTGTTGATGACTACATTTGGAGTCATAATGCTGTGTATGTGCTGACGCTAAAGAAATTCCCTGCAGTTTACATCGAAGAAAGGCAAAGAGAATCCCTCTGCAATCCTCAAATTCGATCATTTGAGTCACAGCGTGTTTGTGTGTGTGTGTCCGTGTATCTGAGTGTGTATATGTGTGGGTGTCTGGGCGGGTGTGAATGTGTATGTGTGTTTTTCGGGGTGCGCGCTCAAGATGTGAAAAGATCATAATGTGTCAGCTTAATGTAAGGGCTAAGAAATAGGTATCAACTTAAAGCCGTGACAAATTAGCAGATTGTTCATGTACATATTTGCTACTGATCACAATGCTAACCTCCTAGGACAAATTGTTCCTGCACTTTGTATTATTAGTATTGAAGTCGGATACTTTGACCTGCATGACATTAGAATTGCGTTTGGAAGGATTGTTTAAGTAAGTTAGTCATGGATGATCTTGACTGGACTTCGGACGGGAGTGTCGACTCTGATGCACTTTCACCATTACCACCTTTAGTAATATGGACGAGCAGAAGGTCAACTGTGTGTGCTCTACCGCCGAACACACCAACTTCTGGTACACCTTATACATCTCATCACCCCGTACACGCAGTTGGTGGGAATCAAGTAGAGACTTCAGAGCCGTCCTTTGCTTATTATGAAATTCAGCATACCTCATTCAGTCCTTGGAACATACCATCAGTTACCACCAATTTACCGCTAGATTATCCACCGCCGGACCTGACAGACCGCGTCAGGGGCTCTCGACCAGAGTGCCAAAGGAAGGAAGATACAAACACTGCTGAGCTTTCAGCAACAGCAGTTGAAAATCCATGCTCGATTCCCATGACATCGGCAATGGAAATTGACCATAACTCGCGAGACAGCGATAACCAAACTGTGAACTATCCAATCTCTGTTTCAGATCACAACATAGTCAACGGGCACGTAGAGTATGACTCGGAAGAAGACAATTACTCAAGCACGTCTTCCGAAGTAGACCTTCAAAAGATCGGACATGTTCCAGTATCTCACCGATCGACTAGCGTATCTGAGGATGGCAAACAGCATGATCATCAAAATCTCAAGAAACAGCATACATCGGCGACGTATTCCGCGGAAGACACCCAACTTCTAGCTGATTTTCCTCAAGATTCTACGTCGCTCAGCCAGGAACCCGGGGTGTCACTTGATCGCAAGCATGATATGCGTGATCGTGCACATTCACAAACTGGAGAACAGCCGCATAAATGTAAGTATTGCAAAAAATCATTTTCTACTGAATCGAGTCTAACATATCATGAATGTGTACAGCCAGAAAAGAAACCTTTCAAATGTAAAGTATGTGATAAAACCTTCAGTACGCGATGGCGTCTTGTTCGTCATGGACGAGTTCACTCAGGAGAAAAACCCTTCGCGTGCAAGTACTGCGCTAAATCTTTCAGTCAGAAATCAAGCTGTACTGTTCATGACCGCATCCATACCGGGAAGAAGCCGTTTAAGTGTAAAGTATGTGGAAAGTGTTTCTCTTGGAAATCCTGTTTAACAGCACATAAAAGAACCCATCCCTGAGAGAAACTGATCAAGAATTGTCACACGTCTTTTAATAATAAAAAAAACACTTAGAAAACGATGCAAACACTAAAACAATTACACAGCAGTCTTCTTTTCAAGATAATGGAAAATGTTCATTATAGAATCGTTTTGAAATGCAAGATGCCCAATCTGAACTCCATGGAAAATTCACTGCTTACATGCTGACTTCTACATTTGTGGCATCACAAACACTATCATTATCATTATTTTAGAGATGATAATATTGTACAGTTTCTAACCATATTACTCAATGCACTTCTTACACGTATTTCCATATTCAATGTACATAACAAAAACTTAGTTTCGCTGAAAAATGCGACTCATTTCTGATAAAATCAACACTGTTTCGTGTATCTTTATTCCTTTGTATGCATATCGGGTCTTGATACTTTTTTATAGAATAGACGGAGTGCTGTTTTGAAATGCGCACATGTTAATTAATATTTGTGGTTCCGTTTTCCTGTATGTACCTTTGGTCTCCTTTCCATCGTTATAATTATAGTCCTTTTCTAGTCCCTGTCAAAACCTTTACAAGTAAAATGTTCAAGTAAAATGTTCTAAATATAACTCAATAATCATTTGCTTGAGGGAAATATGACCTACTGGCAGGACTCGAACCTATGACAATCGCTTGTGCCCAGGAATGATTCATCACTAAGCACTCTACCACTTGTGGGTATCCAAGCAGCGACCATTGAACGTTTTCCTCAGACTTGATTATCTGTCGCTTCCTGTCAATCAACGCAAGCTGTTGGGATTCAAGGAACGTACATGCACATTTACTGTTTTAATCGTAGTGTTTTTAGTTACTGTAAAACTCACTGTTTCCAGTTCCCTGGTGTCAGTCGTTATTCTTTAGCTGCTCCAAAATTGACGAGGTATGAATAGCCCCCTATCATTGCCTAGACCTGTGCAAGGTGCAATAGATTATGTAACATATACGCCACAAAGCCTATATCATTGCTAGAGACGATATAAATCATGCCTGTATTATAGCAGACACTTTGTTGTCAGGTTCTAACAACAAAATGTCTCAGCTCGCATCTCCTCCTGTCAGGTATGGCAATGTCAGCTTGAATGTGAGGTTTCAGCTCGGGTGATGTCAAATCAAACTTTAAGGCGAAGAGAAGTATGGAAAGAGATTGTGTGTGTGTGTTTGTGTGTATGTGTGTGTGTGTTTGAGTGTTTGAAATGTAGCCGTGGCAGTCCCCCTATTTGTAAACAGAGGGAAACCTTCGAATATTAGTGCCGGCACTGCAAGAAACGCCTTCGCGTTCCACGATATCTCAAGCGGCATGTGGCTCGCCAGTACTGTCTCTCTTGACCTGACCCTGGCTCCCTGTCACAATGGGATGGCGTGGCCCTCTATGGCAGTCATGCTATAGTAGTAGTAGTAGTGTGTGTGTGCGCGGGTGTGTTTGTGTGGGTGAGTGTATGTGTGTTTGTTTGTGTATGTGTGTGTGTATGTTCGTTTGTTTCCGCGCGTGAGCTCATAGTGTGAAAATGCCCTAATTTTTCAGCTAAACGTAAGGGCCTAGAAATATATATTATGCTAAAGACTGGACAATTTAGCGGAATATTCATGTACTTATTCGGTAAACACAGCTGCTACCGAATTAAATGCATACCTCCTAAGACGAGTTGCTCCTGCTCTTGGGATTATTGGTATTGAAGTCGGATCCTTTGCTTTGCATGGCAGGTGAATTGTCCTCGTAAGGATTGCTCAAGTAGAGTTAATCATGCACGATCGTGACTGGACGTCAGAGGGTAGTGTCGACTCTTATGCACTCTCACCACTTCCACCCTTAGTGATATGGACCAGCAGAAGGTCAACTGCGTGTCCTCTTCCGCCCAAAATACTATTATGGTACGACTTTTGCAGCTCATCACCACGCACACGGCGTTGGTGGGAATAAAGTAGCGACCTCAGAAGCCCCCTTTGCTTATGCTGCAATATCTCCTCTAGCGCCTAGCGTATCTGAGGGTGCACAATTTCATGACTTTCAAACGCTCGACTTTCAGGATACCTCTTAGTCTTGTTCCGAGAAAGATCCTAAATGACTTTCCTCAAGATCATAAGTCACTCAGCAAGGAAAAAGCAGTGTCGCTTTATGGCCAGCATGATATGTGTGATCGTGCAAATTCACAATCTGGGGGAACACCGTATAAATGTACTGAAGTAAGAATTGCGACTTTGGGATAAATATTTTTCTACTCCATCCCGTCTAACATTTCATGAACGTACACAACCAGAAGAGAAACCTTTCATGTGTGAAAAGCGTTCTAAAACTTTCAACGGGCGATATAATATTGTCCGTCATGAACGCTACTAAAGTAACGCCAGTTACTCACACAGCAGCCCTCTGCATCCTTCAACTTTATGCGCCTAACTCCGGCCACGTATTGTAAGAAATGTCACGTAAGTGTGTGTGAAAACACTGTATGATTTTGAGAAATGGCACGTAAGTGTGAAAAAATAGATAGATCGAAGACACCTAAATTTATCTAACAATAACCAAATGGCGATGGTAAGACCTCACCTCAAAGACCTCACATTGCAGCTCTTCACCGATTGATGCAATGGAAAGCTGGCTCTTCCGCTTCTTCCTAGATACTTGCTTTTTTTAAATCCGCCAAGGATCGATGGAGTTACGAATGTTTTAGTGTGTTCATATCCATCAATCTCTAGAAAGCGATTCAAGTACGCACGGATGGTAAAGGGTTAACAAAGAAAACAGTTAAGGTAGGTTATGTCGTGATAAATATAATTCCTTCCCTAATAATCGTGCGTTAAAAGATACTTATTGGCACAGAGTTCGAGTTAAGGATGACAATAAACGAAATTAGCTGAAGCGTCATGTTAGGAAGGTTTTAATGAGATATCACGAACAATTTCGGAAAAGGTGGTGAATGACAAAGAAATAGGAACGATGAAAAATTAGGATGCATCGAACTAGCTTTCGCAGAACGCTCATCAGGAATCATCGTGGTACTATTTTAACCAATGGCCACGCAGGCTATTTTAAAGTATCAATAGTAATCAATAATACCTAACAAATGCCAAAAATGTATCACAAGGTTTTCTTGTAAGATACCATGTGCGTGAAAGACAACAATCAAACAATCAAAGGGGGAAAAATTCAGATATGAACAACGCTAGGGACAAAATTCTGGTCCGACAAGGCCAGACTAGCACAACATTCTACTGGTTGAAGAATTTCAAAAAGATACCACTCTCTTTTTGAACACAAAGGTAATGTATATGAATGCGTTGGACAACAGCCTCCAACACTCTCACCTGCACCTGAAAACCATGACGCCCACGACATAAAACGTAGAAACATGATCTGAATACACTTGGCAACATTCCAAACGAGATACCTACCGATTATACACAGAAGACTTCCGAGGTCGAAACACACGCCCACACTCACTCTCTCAGTCCCATCCTCACGCTCTCTCTCACTCAACTCACTGCTAGAATCTCCTCCGTCAGAGTCATTTCCGTCATCGTCCTCATCGTTGGCGGTCATGTCCAGTGTTGCCGTCACGCTGGGTTTCCTTCTGTGTCGTTGTTGTTTCTGTCTTTGCGCCCAATAACGACAAAGGCGCCGGTTGACGATCAATTCATTCTTTTCTGCACTGGAAGGATCCATAGCATTCTTTCCTCACTACAGCAAACTTATTGCAATAACGCTCCACCAGCCTCCGGCGTTGCTAGGTGTGGCATTCCACTACGACCCGACAAAAGGGGATGTAATAAAATGTGCTCAATGTCGGTCGTATTCTGGACCTCGTCTGGCTATACTCCCTTTTCAGCCTATCACCCTCTATCCTTACCTTGGAGAGCTCATCACAGATAAAAGCCTTCTCTATTCTTAGCCAGTGGCGATACTTTGCGCGTCTAAATCTGTGCTGTATACGTTTTGGTGCAACACCACTTTGAAAATAAATCCCCGACAACTGAAACATAAATCTCGGAGTCGTTATTGATTATGGTGGTGAAGAATAGCGTGAGATTTGAACTTTCTTTCCCTGATATTGGACGAAATTCACGTTTTCTGTGTGCACAGTAAAGCAGTGTAAGGGTTTGAAAAACCTCAGCCATTTTATTTTACCTAGCGTCAACATACCTCAATTTACTAATTTATGAGTCACTATCCCACTTCCGACTATTCACACATCCACAGTACATTCTGTTCTCAATTCATATCTAACAATAAAAATTCTCCGAGATTGCACTATCATAAGTCTGGTTCTGAAGTGCCACACTGAAGTGCACGTAAAATCTTGTGAGATCCCTAAGCAGGTGTGAAGGTGAACGGGAAATTTTAGAGCGGGACCCTGTGGTGTATGTGTGCGTGTGTGTGTGTGAGGGAGAAAGAGAGTTTGCGCGTATACCTGTGTGCATGTGACTATCAAAATTGATAGTAGAGTGCGGAATATAGAGTTGTGGAAATGGATGTCGACTGCTGTGATGTGACGTGACGAGTTAGCACAGTGTTCGCATACGTGTATATTCGTTAAAAACTGGATGGACCTTATTTCAAAGCTATTGTCTGCAAATAAGGAGAGTTCGTTTTGGCATTTGGATATTTGATATTGTCAGATACTTTGCCGTTTTAGGAAGGAAATCAAATAAGGTGGGGCGAATTGTGTAACCACTTCAGTAAGTGAATCATGGCTGATTGTAACTAGGCCCCGGCGGATAATGCCGGCAGAATTTCGAGCAGAATCAGGGGTTTCAATATCGGAGCAGAATGCGGCAGAATGAGGCAATTGGCGGGCAGAACGGAGCACCAGACGAGCAGACGGAGCACCAGACGAGCAGAACGGAGCATGAGAAAAGCAGAACCGAGCACTACAAATGTAGACGAGCTGAGAACCGAGCACTAAACGAGCAGAGCGGTAGACGAGCAGAACCGAGCACTAGACGAGCAGAACGGAGCACTGTAGTTCTCAGTACGCAGAGCTTATCCACGTCGACGTGACGTCATGCCACTCAGCTTTTGTAGCCGTAACGGACCTTTTGCAGTTTTGGTGCCTATAGGGCTTGAAAGTGCTACGTCACAGCATAGCAACAATTTCAAAAATTCAAAAATTGGATCCACTTGGATCCAGTTTTTGTATGGATCCAAGCACATTTCAAGCCGGGTTACTCACAGCAAGGTGATGTAACCAGTGAAACTGACTGATTTGGCTACTGGGGGCGGGGTTACAACGGGTGGCGAAGTAAAAGTCACCCCTGCATACGACATGAGTGGGTTGCTATGCACCCACATACTGAGGCAATAGCAAAGTCACACCTTAGTGGATCCAAAATAGAAATCTGATGTCAACTTAGTACTCCCTGGCCGTTTTTGACGTCATCACTTTCAAGCCCTATTTGGGAGTCCTTGGTAATCAGGACGGTCTCGTGTATGGCTCCCTGGACGTTCGAAGATTTGCCTCAGCTCAGACTCACTGCACTTGGACATTTTTGGTCGTTGTTCATGACCACGTGACGGGTATGCATAAGCTCTATATATAGAGGAGTTTTGCAACACCTTGTGAATCGTTACATGCCATTTTAGCCCAAATTTGGGCAGGTGCCTTCAGAAATGGAAAGGCCGGATCGCGGGATAATCGATGTTCTACTGTAAAGGGATATTAATGTTTTACTTTTTGTTGTACTTTAGTTCATTACCATTGCCTGGATGTTGAATTGTGGGCTGGTAATTTAGTGTCTCGACCTGCGACCCTGATATGCTCTGTGTGCGGCAATGGCGGAACTCTGCCCCAGCAGAGAGAGTGTTCTCGCTTGTACAAGCTTCTTTCAACTCACAGCAGACGAGTTTACTGGGAGATCATCTGGAGGCGTCACTTATGCTGCAATACACTCGGGGTCGCCTGGCCATGGAGTAAATCCCACTATCCGGGAAGGGACCTGATGTGAAGTTTTACATGCCCGGCATAATCCAGTCCCAATGCATGAACTTGTTTCACCTGCCAGCTATGAACTATTATATTCCATACTCAGCGTTATCCAGTCCCAACATATGAACCTGTCAGGTATGAACTGTTATATTCCATACTCCGCGTTATCCAGACCCAAAGTATGAACCATGTTACAATCACTGACTTGTTCCATGTGCAGTACACAACAACCTGTAACTTTTGTCAATATGTATTTCTTTGAATGTGTAATGCATGAAACCCTGGGCATTCCCTGGCTTCCACCCAACACACATACAATGCCCTGATCTTTTCCAATTTCATTCTAAGGTGACTGCAGCGTAATCTTTTCTGTCTCATGATTTTGCATAATGACCACCTGTGCTACAGCAAGTGTATGGAGTCACACACCTCGCAGGTCTATTTCCTACTTTGCTGACCTCTAGATCTGTAAAACACCAAAGGCATTCCTCTGCTTTAAAATTCTTGCCGCACCACTTGTACAAGAAAAGAGGAACTTGTCTATTGTATTACATTGATCTATAATGAAGTTCAAGTAATACTCTAATGTACATGTCATCACTGACATGGAGCAGAATTGAGCAGAATGTGGGTGTTTTGCGAGCAGAATGCGAGCATAACGAAAAGCAGAATGGGCCTAATTCCCGAGCATTATCCGCCGGGGCCTAATTGTAACTGGACATCCGAGGGAAATGTAGCCTCTGACACATTCTCATCATTGCCACCTTTAGTGATATGGACCAGCAAAAGGTTAGTATTGTGTCCTCCACCGCCGAATCCACCATCTCAAGGTACGCCTTATACAGCTCTTCACCACGCACACTCGATTAGTGGGAATCAAGTAGCGACCTCAGAAGCCCACTTTGGCTGTTATGCACTTCAGCATACCTCATTCAGCTACTGTAATACACCATCAGCTATGGGCAATGTTCTGCCACATCATTCACCGCTGGACGTGACATACCAGTTTAGGCACCCTCGACCTGAGTGCCAGAGGATGGAAGATACGAACTCTGGCGAGATTTCTGCAACAGCTGTCGAAAATCCAGGTTCGAATGACCCAACACCGGTAATGAACATTGACCAAAGATCTCAAAACAGCGATATCCAGACTTTTAACTACCCAATCTCAGTTTCAGACCACTACACAGGCCACGGGCATGGAGCGTATGGTTCGGAAGAAGGCAATTACTCAACCACGTCTTCCGATGTGGACCATCACAACATCGGGCATGTTAGAGTATCTCCCCTATTTCCTAGGGTTTCTGAGGATGCCGAACATGACGAACGTCAAACCCTCAACAATCAGCATACCTCGGAGTCGTGTTCTGAGGAACGCAGTGAACTTCAAGATGGCTGTCCCCGAGATCATGCGTCGCTCGGCAAGGAAACCTGTGCGTCACTTGATCGCCAGCATGATATGCGTGATCGTGCACATTCACAATCTGGACAAGAACTGCATAAATGTAAGCATTGCGATCAATCATTTTCTACTCAATCCCGTCTAACAACTCATGAACGTACACACCGAGATGAGAAATCTGTCAAGTGTGAAGTGTGCGATAAAACTGTCAATAGGCGATTTGATCTTGTCCGTCATGGACGAGTTCACTCGGGAGAGAAACCATTTCCGTGCCAGTACTGCGCTAAACCATTCAGTGATAAATCCAATCTTACTGTTCATGAACGTAGGCATACTAGGGAGAAGCCGTTTAAGTGTGATTATTGTGACCGAGGTTTTATCGACAGGTCCACCCTTAGAGTTCATTTACGTACACATACTGGAGAGACGCCACTTCAGTGTAAAGTATGTAGCAAGACATTCCGACAATCATCACATCTCACAAAGCATCAACTTATCCACACTGGCGAGATGCCTTACAAGTGTAAAGAATGTGGCAAGTCATTCAGACAAACATCAAATCTGACAGTTCATCAACGCATCCACTCTGGAGAGAGACCTTACAAGTGTAACGTTTGTGACAAGGCGTTCACGACTACATCACAACTTACAGTTCATCAACGCATCCATAGTGGAGAGAAACCATTCAAGTGTAAAAAATGAGGAAAGTTTTTCACTCGGAATAAAATCTAACAGTATATGAAGGAATCCATCCCTGAGAGAAACCGATCAGGGATTGTGACAAGTCTGTTATCGTGGAAAAAAATTGAAAGATCATGCAATACTAACACTGTTAAAAAACTGGCTTCTCTTCGAGATTTTAGAAAATGTTCATTATAGAATCGTTTTGAAATTCAAGTAGCCCAATCTGAACTCCATGCAAAGGTCACTGCTGAAATGCTAACTTCCACATTTGTAGCATCACAAACATTCTCATTGGCATTGTACAGTTTCTTACCATGTTACTCAATGCACTTCTTCCACGTATTTCCTTATCTGAGCCGCAATCAGCGAAAACGACCCTTAGAGGTTTCGTAATTTTTTCAAGAAAAAGGTCGATTTGTGACGTTCAACGATTTTTTGATCGCGCTGCGAACAGCGCGACGAGTTCTTCTTGAACTCCTTGCTTGAATTTAATTGTAGTACTTAGTTAGTTGAAGTGGTGTCGAGTGGCGACTCGAGTGTTCCTTGATCTTGTTGCGATGCCTGCGGACGCCAGAGCTGTTTACAGAGCACACGCGGAAGTCATTGTGTACAGCCAGCTCGAGCCTGGTGGGGAGTGGATGCTGAAGTAGCCGCTGAAGTTCAGAGTGAGGATGAAACGTTCTTTGTTTCCGACATCGATGTCAACAGCAAGGCCGAATCGCAGCCGTCATCTCCTGCTGCGTTGCGGCTCAAGGTGGTCGATGACTCGTCATAGTCGGAAGATGAGGAGGCATCACCTGAGATAAATTCTGAGTCTGGGGCTAGTGACGGCAGCGACGTCGTGTCGCCAGCTGCGGAGGAAGAAATGGAAGACATTGCGGAATGACTCCACGCAGGATGCAGCTGCAAAATAATAAGTCGATCATGTCTCCGCACTCTTCAGTTATTCTTTGTCATTCTAGCTGCTTACTGCACTATTTCAAAGGTATTCAAGCTGCCCACCCACCTTCGAATGCTGAATATTTATTGTACACATACATCGTATACATACATTGCACCAATTTGGAGTACACCTTGTATATTGGTGTATACACTCGTTTCGAATCGGAATATTGAACTTTTTCTTGGCTGAGGTCCTTCAGTAGATGTGTTTCAACAAATTTCTAACCAAAAAGGAATTTTGAAAAATTTGACCCTAAGGGCTGTTTTCGCTGGTTGAGGCCCATCTATCATTCATAAAGAAACTCAATAGCGTTGAACATGCGGCTCATTTTTGACAAAATCAGAAATTTTCCGTTCATCTTTATTATTCTGCATGCATGCCGGGAATGAATCCTTTCCCTAGAAGAGACTATGATTGTGCTATTTTGAAGTTCGCAAATGATCCTAAAATATGTCATGGAATTTGTTTCTTTACGTACCTTTGGTGCAGTGTGTATTGTAATAACGTTCTAGTTCTTGTCAAACCTGTTAGAATCTTCTAACACAATTTATCTCTTTGTTCATATGATTGAGGGAAGGGTGCAAAGGGGAAAATGACGCTCACTTTTTTTATGTTTATTTGAATTCGAATAGCTCAACAGTACAGAAGTACAACTACAAAGAGTACCGAATAGAAGGCCCCGAGAACGGGAAACCAAAAAAACAAAAAAAGCAAATCACAACAATGATTAAGAGTTAAGCTGTCTTTTAGCCAAATAGCCAATTTGACGGGGAAATCTGCGATAGTAGTGCAGGACTTCAGGTCATCTGGTAAATAATTCCAAACAAGAGCCGATTTACTTGAAAAGGACAGAAAGCCAGACATAGATCTATAGCGATTGATACTCATGTTATGAGTTGTTGAGCTGCGAGTAGTTCGGGTAGACGTACAGATGGGAAAGAGGGTCTGCAAGCAAACACCCGGCTTAATACAGTAACAGTGGAAAATGAATGCAAGGAACAAAAATACTGATCGATATTGGAAAGAGGAAACATTGAGGTGGTGAAGAAGTGGCGTGATATTAGCTTGGGGTGATGCGCCACAAGCAACTCGTACAGTGCGCCGGTGGAGAGAGGCTAGCTTGTTTCAATTTTTAGCGGATATAAACGAAAGGTATACAGGGAGAGCATATCCCAGATCAGGCTGAATAACACCGACAACGAAAGTACGGCGGGCAAACAGGTTCATCTGGCGGAAAGATCGACGCAGTACACCGATCTTCCGTGAGGCTTTCCGGACGACATTGTTAATGTGTTGGTCAAAGGACAGTTTATTGTCAACAACGACTCCTAGGCATCTGGTGCTTTCCACTTCCCCTAGCGTAACATTTGACAAGGTAATTTGCAGTTGTTGCCTTTGTTGTTGTTGCTGACTCCCTGTGGCACGTTTGGGATGGATTTGCATGACAACGGTTTTGTCGGTATTTATCTGCATGCCAATGGAGCCAAGGTGGTTGTTTAGTATCTCCAGTGTTGTTGTTGTTGTTGTATACTTTATTTATAGTGGAAATCAAAACAGGCAAAATGCCTAATAACATTGGACCCACTGTGAATAACATGTTAAAGGATATTGTGGAGAAAAAAAAAAAAAAAAAAAAAAAAAAAAAAGTAGATACAAGAGAAAAAGAGAAAGGAAAAAATGACGGAAGGTCGGTTGCAACGAACAGATATCAATCCAGTAAGCATTGGAAAACCTATGTCGCTGATAATATATACTGCAAGGCTTGAGATTTAAAATCCAAATACCTATTTGAACATTTTGCTGCTGGTGGCAATCTATTCCACATAATGGCTCCAGCGTGCGTTAGGCGCTTAGCAGAACGAGCAGTGCTAGCAGGTGAGACCACAAGCAAGTTGCTTTGGCCTCCCCGAGTGCGAGTTGAGGGCACGACAGCAAAAAAGGACTCAAACAGGGTGCTACATGCATCATGCAAACATCGCCAGATGAAACACAACATATTCAAGTGCACAGAAACCTGTAGATCACATACATGCATTCGATTTAGCAGCGGAGCAGTACTGGTCCACGGTGGCGACTTGCAGACTGCCCGAGCGGCACGTTTGAACAGCCTATGTAGCCGTTGTTCCTGGGCAACTGTCAAATACGGGTAGTAACTAATAGAAGCATACAAAAATTCAGGCAAAACGATAGATCTGAAGTAGGTGAGTCGGCATGGATACGGCAGCGAGGAAGCATGTCGCAGCAGGACAGCAATTTTGCCGGCAACACGACGAGCAACATGGTCCACCATTGTGGTCCAACTCATGTCCGAGTCAAAATGCAGGCCAAGGTATTTGGCAGATGTGACTACTGGTAGGACTTGTGAATTGCATACAACATTGATGTCGAGGGCTGCAGCTCTATGGTGTGGTATGGCGAGTATCTGCGTCTTGGTCTCGTTAAGGATCAGTCCACGTTTCTTCAACCAAGTGGCCAGGTACTGAACTGCTGCAGTGAGGCGCTGGGAGACAACTTCTGGCTGTGGACTGCTCGCACGCAGCGAGATGTCATCAGCAAACTGAATAGTGGTGACGTCATGAGGGGCAAGGTCGCCGGCAATATCCCTCACATACAGAACGAAGAGCAAAGGTCCGAGAACTGACCCCTGAGGAACCCCTGACTGGCTGTCATAAGTTGTACTTCTGGTTTTTCCTGTCTCCACGTATTGCCGGCGATACATCAAGTAGTCTGAAAACCATTGCAAAGCAGTGCTAGTGAGACCCAGTTCAAAGAGGTCCTCAACCAGAATGCTATGCTTTACCTTGTCGAAAGCTTTAGACATGTCGACAAATGCTACTCCTGTGTGCTGCCCAGCGGCTTGTGCTTCATTGATGTTCTCTACAGCTAGCGCTAAGGCATCTGCTGTGGAATGCTGGTGTCTGTAACCAAACTGACTAGTAGGCAAGAAATTGTTCGTGTTGAGGTACTGCAGAAGCTGCTTATGAACAATACGTTCAAGCACTTTCGACACTATCGGCAATAGGGAGACTGGTCGGTAATTCTTGGGTTGGCTGGGGTCTCCAGCCTTGAACAGAGGCCGTATTTTACCCACCTTCATTGCCGCAGGAAACTGTCCTTCTCTCAATGACTTATTAAATAGTAGCGTGAGTGACGGTGCCAGGATGTCAGCATGCATCTGGAGGAGACTTGCTGGAATATCATCACTCCCAGTGGCTTTTCTGGTGTCCAACTGTTCCAACATTTTCCGAGTAGTTGCAATGTAGACTGGCAAGAATTCCGAGAAGTGCACCGCAGGTGGAGATAGTGCCGATGGCAACTTGGCTTCGGAACGCACCTTCGACGGATCACTAGAGTAGACTGTCTTGTCCTCTGCGAACATGAGTAATTTTGAACCCTCTGTCTCCGCAAGCCGGGGAAGGTCCCTCAGGTAGACATTAAAAAGGGTAGGGCCTAGAATACTTCCCTGAGGAACTCCTCGAGACACTGCAAGACTTGAAGACTGGCTGGCTTGCGTGACGACACGCTGAGGTCTCCCGGCGAGGTACGACGCAAACCAACGCAGGGCGCTTGTATGAACACCATGGAGCGCAACGAGTAACTGTTGATGCTGGACGCGATCAAACGCCTTGCTGAGGTCGACAAAGGCTACACTGGTAGTCTCTCCGCGGTCCTGGGCCAGTTTCCAATCATTAACAGCAAGTGTGAGCAGTTGTGTCGTAGAACGAGCTGGTCGGAATCCAAATTGGTGATCGTGGAGGTGATTTTCGATGGTCACTAGCAGGATTGGAACCTGTGACAATCGAGTATACTCAGCGACACCCTACCATTATGCACTCTAACACTAGTTGCCGTCCAAGCAGCGACCGTTCAACTGTTTCCTCGGACTTAGAAACTCTCGATTTTTCCGAGTCACACAAGCTGGTCGGATGCAAGGAACGTACATGACATTTCCTGTTTTAATCGTTGGGTTTGTAGATAGTGCGAAATTCACGATTTTCTTGCTCCACATAATTATACTGGCATACACAGAGACAAAGAGAGCAATAGCGACAACACACAAAGTGAAGGGTAGTTGGCCGCAGCCAGATGTGAGGCGAATAACGAGTGAGGTATGGAAGCAAGGACTGAGAACAGAGTGTCTCAGATAGAATAGGCGTGCCAGTGGATAGCAGAAATAGGCCATGTTGCAGAACCACTTGGGACGGTCAGATTAATTTTCCTGAACCGAGCCAGCCGGGGAAAAACCCTCGCGCCGACGGACGCATTTGTGAGGGAAAAAACGGGTGTATATCCCCAATGGTGATTAGGCATCATGTAGGCATGGCAAGCATATCACGGCAAACAGTGATAAAAAAGCAATGATAATATGCACAGAAATGAAGAATGGGAGGGCAGGGACACTGGTGAGACTCAAAACTGACGGAAGAAGTCAGGAAAAGAAGCAACTACAAAGAACACACCAGATGCCATATTGGCAACTGAAAATATTTCGCGAGATACTGAGCCAGTAATAAATGTACAAAAGAGTCATTCTTGTGCCCTATTATGGAAATTTATGACTGTTTATCATCTTGTTACAGTCGTGGATAGTTGCTGCGTACCTCTTTCTCATGTGTTTTCTTCTACTTTCGTTATATTTATTGGCTCAGTATCCGATTTAAGTTTACAATAGATTATGACCAACAATTTCCTTTCTGAAAAGAAGCAAGACAAAATGTTACGAGTTGTGGGTAACTGTCCACCAACGTAAGCAGATCTTATACAGTCAGTGAGTGCGACAAAATGGCACAAAACTGACAAAGGAGTACTGAGACATTCGGCGACCCGATACCAAGCTCCACCACTTCTCCAAGGCGCAAACCAACAACCTTCCAACTTGCAAGGCTCAGGTTCGGAAAGGTCCAAAATGGGGAAGGAAAGCGCAACGAAGAAGGCCACGAGTTAGGCATCACGGCAACAAAGAAAGCCGAAGGTTTTTGGTTTGAGCCTTGGAGACGTGTTGGAGCTAGGTGTCAGGTCGCCGAATGTCTCAGTACTCCTTGTCAGTTTTGTGCCATTTTGTCACACTCGCTGACTGTATAAGATCTGGTTACGTAAGTCGTTGGTGGACAGTTAGTCATAACTCGTAACCTTTTGTCTTTCTTCTTTTCATAATAATATAATAGGCTCACCGTCCGAGTTAAATTTCCTTTCTGTTGACACATTTTGATGAACTTGAAAGAAGGTATTGTGTCAAACAATGATCTACCACTAAGCTATGGCCTAGTGGTCATCAAAGCAGCCACAGCTGAACACTTTCTTTAGACTTCAAAACGCTCACTTCTTGTGATTTCACACAGGCTTGCGATACGCAGTACCCCTGTAAATCACACACGCTAGTCTTTAGCACTATGTAGTACGCGGGGGGACCCCCGACACTAAAAGAAATCAAATATTCCAGGAAAAGATGTAAAAGGGGAAGGGTGAGAAAAAACGTCGACTGTCATCACGAGGACTCCTATTTCCGGCGATGCTTTGATATCTCAGCATTTTGTCCTTGATGTCACAGCAGGATGCACTGCGTGCGAGCTGATTATGCTACGCAGATGGAGTATGCTAAATACATACATATTTTTATACCTGCAATATCGGGACAAACTCAGATCGTCAAAACTCTGGGTTTCTTTATCTAGCATGAATTTCTTAAGCAATACTGTGAAATCATAAGGTAGGCATAAATGTGCATTATAACTAGCATCTGCCAAGAAACAAGACTTGTTCCATTGCCCTTTCCTCAGTTAATTTTTAAGTCACAAGCAAGACAGGACATGACACGATACATTTCCATGGGGAGCTGATCATCCATTCCATATGATAATGCTCATCTCATCACCTGATCAAATACTGTTGATGACTACATTTGGAGTCATAATGTTGGGTCTGTGCTAACGCTAAAGAAATTCCCTGCAATTTACATCAAAGAAAGGTCAAAGAGAATCTCCTCTGCAGTCCTGAAATTCGATCATTTGAATCACAGCGTGTTTGTGTGTGTGTATGTCCGTGTATCTGAGTGTATGTTTAAGTGGGTGTCGGGCAGTGTGGATGGGTGTGTGTGAGTGTGTATGTGTGTGGTTCGGCGCGTGCGCTCATGATGTGAAAAGATCATAATGTGTCAGCTAAATGTAAGGGCTGAGAAATAGATATCAAGTTAAAGACGTGACAAATTAGCAGATTGTCCATGTACATATTCGGGGAACATGGTTGTTACTGATCACAATACTTACCTCCTAGGACAAGTTGTTCCTGCTCTTTGGATTATTGGTATTGAAATCGGATACTTTGACATGCATAGCATTACATAGCGCTTGGAAGGATTGTATAAAAGTAAGTGAATCATGGATGATCTTGACTGGACTTCGGCCGGGAGTGTCGACTCCAATGCACTTCCACAAATTCCACCCTTAGTGATATGGACCAGCAGAAGGTCAACTGTGTGTCCCCCACCGCAGAACACACCAACTTCTGGTACACCTTATACAGCTCATCACGACGTATATGCCGTTGGTGAGAATGAAATAGCGACCTCAGATGCTTCCTTTGCCTATTATGCAATTCAGCATACCTCATTCAGTCCTTGGAACATACCATCAGTTACCACCAATTTACCGCTAGTTCATCCACCGCCGAACCTAACAGACCGCGTCAGGGACAGTCGAACAGAGTGTCGAAGGAAGGAAGATACAAACCCTACTGAGCCTTCAGCAACAGTTGTCGAAAATCCATGTTCGATTCCCATGACATCCGCAATGGAAATTGAACAAAGATCGCGAGACAGCGATAACCAAACTGTCAACTATCCAATCTCAATTTCAGATCACTACACAGGACACAGGCACGTAGAGTATGACTCGGAAGAAGACAATTACTCAAGCACGTCTTCCGAAGTAGATCTTCAAAATATCGGACATGTTCCAGTATCTCACCGACCGCCTAGCGTATCTGAAGATGGCAAACATCATTATCATCACAAGTTCAAGAAACAGCATACATCGGCGACGTATTCCGCTGAAGGCACTCAACTTTTAGCTGACTTTCCTCAAGATCATACGTCGCTCAGCCAGGAAACCAGGGTGTCACTTGATCGTCAGCATGATATGCGTGACCGTGCAAGTCCACAATCTGGAGAACAGCAGCATAAATGTAAGTTTTGCGATAAATCATTTTCTACTCAATCCCGTCTAACCTCTCACGAATGTGTACAGCCAGAAAAGAAAACTTTCAAATGTAAAGTGTGTGATAAAACCTTCAGTACGCGATCTCATCTTGTTAGTCATGGACGAATTCACTCAGGAGAGAAACCGTTTACGTGTAAGTACTGCGCTAAATCATTCAGTCAGAAATCAAGCTGTACTGTTCATGAACGCATCCACACCGGGAAGAAGCCGTTTAGGTGTGATCATTGTGACCAAGGGTTTTGCGACAGTCGCAACCTTAGACGTCATAAACGCACACACACTGAAGAGAAGCAATTCAAGTGTACCGAATGTAAAAAGGCATTTAGACGTTCATCACATCTCGCCGATCATCAACGTACCCATACCGGGGAGAAGCCATTCAAGTGTAAAGTATGTGGAAAGTCTTTCTGTTGGAAAACCAATCTAGCAGCACATGAAAGAATCCATCTCTGATAGAAACTGATCAAGGATTGTCACAAGTCTTTTAATTAAAAAACCACTTAGAAGACCATGCAAACGCTAACACAACAGTCTTCATTTTAAGATAATGGAAGATATTTAATATACATGTAGGTCTGTTTTGAAATGCAAGTAACCCAATCTGAATTCCACGCAAAATTCACTTCTTACACGCTGACTTCTACATTTGTGGCATCACAAACATTATCATTATCACGGTTGCACAGGTCACAATTTCTAACCATGTTACTCGATGCACTTCTTACGCGTATTTCCATATGCAATGTTCTTAAAAAAACTCAGTTTCGCTGAACATGCGGCTCATTTTTGATAAAATCAGTATTTTTTCGTGCATTTCTATTCTTTTGCACGCATGTCAGGTATAGATCCTTTCCCTAGAATGAGACGCTGTGCTTTTTTGAACCTCGCACCTGTTGCTGAATATGTGTTGTAATTTTTTCCTGTATGTACCTTCAGTCCCCTTGGCATCTTATTATAGTCCTTTTCCAGTCCCTATCAAAACTCTTAAAATGTTGAACTCGGATGGTCAGCCAATAAAGTTATGATGAAGACAGGAAAAGGACCAAATGTTACGAGTTATAACAAACTGTCCACCAACGTACTTCCTCCGTTAACAAAAACTTCGTGATGGATTTTGATGGATATGAAAACGCTTAGAACAGGTCAAGAACAGTTTGTATCGACTGCAAATTACTGGACGAAGGTGATTCAGCCTATGTACAGCGTTTTTACAAGAGAAACTGTTGGCGGAATGAGCAGAGCGTTCGGTTTGCGTCGCTTTCGCTCGATTCATTTTTGACCTGCGTCGCTGTCGTCATCTGCTGCACGCGAGTCGTCATCTGCTGTACGCGAGTCGTCATCTCTCTCGAGTCGTTGTCCAGCTCGTTTCCGCCTTGCCTCGGCTTCTTTGATCACACTCTGCTTGATGTCGCCGTCGTTCAAGTAAGTTTGCTTTCAAGCCGCGTGATCCGCCGCGATGGCGATTACTCGTTTCCACCAGGGAGTTGTGAAAAATATTTTACGACTCCCTGGTTTCATCTTCGCTCTCAAGAACTCCGCGAAACGAGGAGTAAAGGCACAGCTAACCTGATTCCATTTTCTCTAATGGATACCAGCACTGAACGGCAGCGGCTAGCAAGTCCAGTCGACTTCCTTGGCTTTAGCCACGAGACTCGCATCTAACTGCAGACTTCTGAAAGAATGCATGGTCATCAGCATTCGAATTTGGGCTTTGCGCAGGTTGAACAAGAACTTCAGTTCAGATTTATTTTCATTGAGCCGTGCGATCGGAGCAGCTCCTTGTTCACTCGCTCATTGTGAGGGCTCACTGCTCCGTTTTATCGCTCTCTATCACTCTCCAACGTACTCCGTGCTAAAGTGGTAGAGAGGCCAAGCAGCGTAATATCCCCTCGGAGAAGTGGCATTTCAGTTTCGCTCGACATGACTGTCATCACCTATGTTTCCACAGTGCAACCATCGATTCCGCTCGGCTTGTTGTGAAAGGTCGCTTTCCTTGCATCGTACCTCTGTCATGGCATGCCAGGGAAGGCCAAGAAAGTGATTGTGACTCATTTCACGGCAGTTTGTGCCCAAATCAGACCCTCAAAATTCCATCACGAAGTTTTTGTTAACGGAGGAAGTAACCAGATCTTATACAGTCAGCGAGTGCCACAAAATGGCACAAAATGGAGCTTTCCGAACCTGAGCCTTCCAAGTTGGAAGTTTGTTGGTTTGCGCCTTGGAAATGTGTTTGAACTAGGTGTCAGGTAGCCGAATGTCTCAGTAGGTCTTGTCAGTTTTGTGCAATTTTGACGCACCCGCTGACAGTATAAGCTCTGGTTACGTTGGTGGACAGTTTGTCCTAACTCGCAATATTTTGTCCTTTTCCTTTCTCCATCTTAAAGAGTTCTAAATAAATAACTCAATAAATAACTCAATAATCATTTGCTTGAGGGAAAAATGACTTACTGGCAGGACTCGAAACTGTGACAATCGCGTATGCCCAGCAAGCACTCTACCACTTGTGATCATCCAAGCGGCGACCGTTCAACGTTTTCCTCACACTTATAATCTCTCGCGTCCTATGAATCCACACAAGCTGGTGGTATTCTAGGAACGTTCATGACGTTTAGTGTTTTAATTGCAGCATTTTTTACTCTATCCCGTCTTACATCTCATGAACGACAACACCCAGAAGAAGAACCGTTGAAGTGTGAAGTGTGCGATAAAACCTTCACCAGACGATATCTCCTGGTCTCTCACGGAAGAATTCACTCATGAGAGAAACCCTTAAGAGAGCATGTCTGAGAATACCAAAGTATGTGTGCAAGTGGATCTCTCCGATTTCGCTCAAAATTTGCAGGTAGGTTGCCTTTGGGGTGTGGATCGACTGTGCAAAGCCCTTGAAAAAGTTTCTGAAGGGAACCTTGAAATTTGCATACCCCTCAAAAATGGCCGAAATATCACATTATTTATGGGTCTAGAAACGAGTCACGCCACAGCGTATACGAACAAGCTATGAACAAAACTCCATCAAGCCAACATTGCCTCACCTTAGAAGAGTTCCTGGAGCAGTACCGCTTAGCCACGCCAGCATCCCAGAAGACGAGGTCCATCACCCCCTGACGCCACAAATGATCGTCTTGAAAATAGCCAATTTACAAGCGCTGGCAAAACAGCCAGCTACGTCCTCAATTGGCCAGAACTATACACCGGCAGATAGTAGAACACCTCTTCTAGCGCTGAGGACATGTCCCCCATCTTCCTTTTGGGGTTTTCTTGAAATAAACTTTTTTGAATTTTTCCACTCGACCATGCTGAAATACGGCCAAAGTCATACCTGCGCAGGAAAGCTCGCCCCGTCGCGACGTCTCCTCAGCAATTTCTACTCCAACACTACTCCCAAGGCCGCAGAACAAAGTGTAGTTTTGACTCTGACAAGGAAAAGCAGCGGTGATCACTTGTCACTCCAAACGACAAGCTTCTCCTTGCGCCACCAATAATTTTTTGTGCGACTGTTGATGCAAAAGTGACTGAAGGCCTGAGCGCAGTTTTTGAATTTTATTGCAAGATGCACGGTGAAATCACGTGCCTTGTGACGCAAGAATGCCAAGTCGCGTGGCCCACGGCTCACGAGATTTCAGAGTCACCTTCGTCAAGTGCGCTTGTTACTCGCCTTGAAGTTGAACGCCCGTTGGTCTGGAAGTGATCCCACTTGTGTTGTTACTGCGCTCAAGAACACCCTGGGAGTGTTGTAGGCCAACGAACCGGGACTTTCCCTGACCATGTAGGTCGAAGACCAGTGAAATGATGATGAAATCACATTCTTTATGACGTAAGAAATCTCTCATGCAGTTCACGCGACAAGTGCGTGCAGTCAGTGCTACTCGCGTGCCAGTCAACACAGGGACCGAGCTAGCCGCTTTTGTCGAGCATCGACATGAAAACAAGGGACTTTTACTGTTGGACTATGTTCGGGATTGCAGGAGGTAAGTGTGAAAGACGAATAACTCTCCATGCTGTACGGGGCATATTTCAACGGCTTGCTGCCATTGCAACACTCCTAGGACAGTTTGTTGGGGTACTCAGCAGTTCAAGCAGGAAATGAAGCTCATCTTACCTCTGCCATCATGGTCTGTTCCGAGTAGCGTTCCAGGCACTTTCACGATCGTTGGCCGCGTATCGTGATGCAGGAAGCGTCATCCTACGTCACAGAGCACGCGATCTCACCGTGCATCTTGCAATAAAATTCAAAAACTGCGCTCAGGCCTTCAGTCACTTTTGCATCCAGTCGCACAAAAAATTATTGGTGGCGCAAGGAGAAGCTTGTCGTTTGGAGTGACAAGTGATCACCGCTGCTTTTCCTTGTCAGAGTCAACACTATACTTTGTTCTGCGGCCTTGGGAGTAGTGTTGGAGTAGAAATTGCTGAGGAGACGTCGCGGAGGGGCGAGCTTTCCTGCGCAGGTATGACTTTGGCCGTATTTCAGCATGGTCGAGTGGAAAAATTCAAAAACGTTTATTTCAAGAAAACCCCAAAAGGAAGATGGGAGACATGTCCTCGGCGCTAGAAGAGGTGTTCTACTATCTGCCGGTGTATAGTTCTGGCCAATTGAGGACGTAGCTGGCTGTTTTGCCAGCGCTTGTAAATTGGCTATTTTCAAGACGATCATTTGTGGCGTCAGGGGGTGATGGACCTCGTCTTCTGGGATGCTGGCGTGGCTAAGCGGTACTGCTCCAGGAACTCTTCTAAGGTGAGGCAATGTTGGCTTGATGGAGTTTTGTTCATAGCTTGTTCGTATACGCTGTGGCGTGACTCGTTTCTAGACCCATAAATAATGTGATATTTCGGCCATTTTTGAGGGGTATGCAAATTTCAAGGTTCCCTTCAGAAACTTTTTCAAGGGCTTTGCACAGTCGATCCACACCCCAAAGGCAACCTACCTGCAAATTTTGAGCGAAATCGGAGAGATCCACTTGCACACAT